CAAGGACTTCTTCCCAGAGCAAGGGCACTAAGTCGTATTTGGAAGGCTCTTCTGACACTCAGTTGAAAGACTCTGAATGTACACCTGTGGATGGACCTTTCCCTTTGGAACAGGTTGTGAATGGAAATGATACCCCAAGTCAAGTGGAGTGTCAGGAGTCTCCTGAAGCCGCAGTGAAGGCAAGGCATAAAGAAGGAGCTAGCCAGAGATCTAAGCAGAGTCGGAGAAATCCACCACGGCGCTCCTCTTACCGAGCCCAGACAGAACCCCAGGAGGAGGCTTGGTATGACTGTCACAGGGAAACAGATGCGAGTTTCTCTGATACCTACCAGGATTATGAGGAGTACTGGAGAGCATATTATAGGGCGTGGCAAGAATATTACGCTGTTGCTTCCCACTCGTACTATTGGAATGCTCAGAGACATCCCAGTTGGATGGCTGCCTACCAGATGAATACAGTGTATCTACAAGAAATGATGCGCAGTAACCAGTGATGACCATAGACTGTCAGCAGTAATTGGATGTGCATTCTTCACCTGGAGTAAGTGGGGGATGGCTGCATTTTGGAGGAACTTGAGAGGACTTTGAGGCTTTCTACTGGGACACAGCTATTTTTCAGATTATTTTGACTTGGTCCAGGAATACTCTTTTTTTCCAGTTTCATCAGATTTGCAAGAGAGTTTTTAGAACTTGGAACTAAAGACCCCCCAAAGTGCCACTTCATGTAGGCTGTTCCCAAAAGAAACCTTTTAAAAGGTGACATATATGGCACTCCTTAAATAAAAATAGTTAAGATTTGAATATAATGTTTTCCTGTGGATTCCTTACAAAAGGATTGCTCTACATTTCTGTATTACTGTATTCTCCTGGGAATCTGATCATGGTAGGTCTTTGAGGTTTAGGCAGGAAGGAATCTTTTAATGCCCTCTGCTTCCAGTGGTAGTTTCCGCTGGCTGAGAAAACAGATTTAGGTCAATGTTCAGGATGCTTTCTGTTCATGCTCCTGAAGAAGCTGTGAAGGCTGCCCACATCTCACTGTGTTAAGTAGGTCAGTGTCATCTGTGGCTACCTTCTGCTCACGGGGCAGCTTATCCTCATTGCTTCTTGGGTTCTAAATGAATCTTTTAGAAGCTATGGATAGGTTGACCCAAGAAAATTTCTCATTCTGTAAGTGGGATTGTGAACGAAATTTCAAAGGACTCGTAGGTACTCTTACGTGCATTTACGCAACCCAGGTTGAAACTTGATGTAAGTTGTATAGATGGGACCTACTAGCTCTGCGGGTAGGCTGAGGGAAAGTCCTAGCTCTTAGTGCTCAGTGTTTGATTGAAGACAAGTCCATTCTGTTCTGACTCTTTCCATAGTATGTTCTGTTCTCCTTAATCTGCACCAAAGAATTTTTTCCTTGAATGCTAGGATCTAAGAGGAGCTATCATTTTTCCGAGCTCTCTAAGTTATGATTTAGGAAAGTCATAGCACTTAGAGGCTAAGCATTCTTTTTATCACTAAACTTGGGGTCTGGGATCTTGCTGTGAACTGTATTTTAGGTGAGAGAATCCCTTATGTATTGAGAAATTACTCACTTTAAAATAACAAAGTTCTTCTCTGTGTACACACTTAGCAGTATAGACCATTCTAGTGTTGTCAGCAAACACAGCCATTGTCATTTCATGTAGAACTTCCCTAGGATTTAGTCATAAAGCATTCAGCTTGGATTTCTGTGATTTGGCATGGTCAGTCGTATACAGACAAAATCAATACTATACATGTATTGTGAAGTTAGATGAAATAATTTAGCAAACCTAGGTTAGGTTCAATATATTACTAAGTTGTAGAGATTTTAATTACACACTTAAATAAGATCCTGTCAGTACTATGTAATTGCACTCACATCTTTCTACTCTCCCCCGCCACAACAGAGCCAACTTCATTGTTTGTCATTGCTAGGGGATTAATTAGAATACTGCTGCATCTTAATTAGGGATGAGGCTACCCATTAGTCTTGAAATTAATTGTATTCTCTCCAGGTTTGGTTTGTGTTTGCCTTTTTTTTTGGATACAAAATTGCTTTTAGTTAGTCAAGAATAAAGTGCATTCTTAAGTTATCCAGAGAAGCAGGTTTCCTTAAGAGCTCTGTAAATGTTTAACACTGAATGCCCAGTTCAAGATTCACAGGGCTGGAGAGAGAGCTGATAAGCACATTTGCCACTTGTCACCAAGCTTGATGACCTGGTTTGATCTCCATGGAAGGAATTGTCCACTGACTGCCAGGAGCACACTCTGGACCCCACACACTAAGTAAATGGAAAACAAAAACACCCCCAAATCCAATAGCAAGTATATGAATTAAAATTTTAGAAACTTGGGGCACTTTGAAAGCGAGTGTATGCATCTCCATGAGGGTGCTGCAGGACTTCGTTTCCGTGGGCTGGAACTGGGGAGGTTGGAGCTGTTTCCATTCCAGGTAGTGGGAGTGCAGAGGTGAAAATGGAAGGACATCTGCCACCCCCGTGCCTGCCTGGCTTGCTGTGTGTGTGCGTGCGCGTGTGAAGGGAGTGCGGGAGGGGGGCGTCCAGCCTAGGCATGTGTCCATGTAACCTGCTCGGAACCGTGCACAGATTTACTGTAGACCTCAGCTGGGAACTTGTATCATAAAAGAAAACTTGTCCTGGTTAAGACATTCTATCCACTTTTATACTTTATACCAGTCACCTCTCAGAATCCAGCTTTCTCAGTAAAATGAGACATTAGATTTTTAGGGTTCCTTATAAGATTTTTTTATATGACTCATGAGAAAGTATTTTATGAGAACAGTAATTTAAATTTATAAATAAGAGTCTATAATCTTAAGTAATTCTTTAACTTTGAAAATCTTCAGGCCATTCATTACTTTAAATTCAGGTTCAGCTTGAATTAGGCATTTATTATTACATATGAAACCTTATGGAAACCTGCTTCTTTGGAGAGTTTGTATTTTTTTCTTCTACTTATGTGTATTTGTGTGTGTGAGAGAGCCCATCAAAGCTAGAAGTGGGTGTTGGATCCCTTAGAACTGAAGTTCAAGGCAGTTGTGAGCTACCCAACATGGGTGCTGGGTGCTGTAGGACAATGGTCTTTTATCCTGTCACTTTATTATTTTAATGAAATGCTGATTGGCCAGTAGCCAGGCAGGAGGTATAGATGGGGTGACAAGAACAGGAGGACTCTGGGAAGAGGAAAGAGTCAGTCTGCAGTTGTGACAGAGGAAGCCAGACACAGGGAGCAAGATGAGAATGCCTCGCTAATAAAAGGTACCATGCCACGTGGCTAATATAGACAAGAATAATGGGCTAATTTAAGATGTAAGAATTAGTTAATAAGAAGCCTGAGCTAATAGGTCAACCAGTTTATGATTAATGTAGGCCTCTGTGTGTTTCTGTGTGACTGAATGGCTGCGGGACCAGGCGAGACAGAAACTTCTGTCAACAGCTGGGAACAAAACTTCGATCTTCTAAAGAGCAAGCAGCTAGTTCTCTTAACCACTGAGCCATTTCTCTAGCCCTCTGCTTTGGATAATTCTGAGAATGTAAGTTACTACTTTAGTGACCTCTAAAATAAAAGCATGTGTCTTTAAGGTAAATTTCAGCCCCAGAACACCAAAAGTAATTGAAGAAGAATGATTGTCATGACAAAGAGAAGGGATGATTCAGAACAGAAATTTTTGAGAGCTTTTCCTATTTCCCTTGAAATATAAAATAATTTACATTTTTAATGGTTATTGTTGACACCCCCATCACAAAGGTCTTGTCTTAAGGCAGAATGTGTTTGTTTGTTTTGTATCTTTTGAACAAGTGCATATACACAACTTGACATTTAGTGCTTTAAAAGTTTTATTAGGAGCTGGGCATAGTGGTACCTGCCTTTAATTCCAACACTCAGGAGGCAGGTGCAGGTGAGTCTCTGAGTTCAAGGCCAGCCTGGTTTACATAGTTCCAGGACAGAACTACATAGTGAGAAAACAGTTTTATTACATTTGTGTGTGTGTGTACTCCTGCATGTCATGGTGCCATCGGTGGAGGTCAGAGGATAACAGGAGTCAGTTCTCTCCTTTTACATTGTAAATCTGGGAATCAAATCTCAGCATCAAACTGCAAAGGTGTCACACACTGTTTTGTAATGAAAAAGAATGCTGAATGCAGGCAGAGTTGCAGAAGACAGGTACTTTGCAGTTTTCTTTCAGTTTGTTTGAGCTGTGGTCTTTAGTGACACCTAGTGGGTAGAAAGGATGTGAGCATCAGTGCTTACAGTGAATTTTGTACTTGACCTGGACTTGAGAACATAACCGTGTATGCTTCCCCTTTCTTTTACTGTTTTCAGTGCTTGGGATCTGGTGGTTTTGGAGAATGATGAGGATTTAAATTTGCGCCGTTGCATGTCAGAACATGAAAATGCTTCTCTCACATAAACAGAATTGTTAAGGTTAGATCTTAAGGGGTACTTAATCCTGCCCACACCCCCTTCAAAGTCAAGAAAGGAACTGAAAGGAAGAAGTAAACGGTGACATGTGAAGTCACAATATGTGACAAACCTAGCTGTGCTGCTCTTGCCTGTCGAGATTTTTATTCTCTATAGCATTTACTGTTGAGTGTGTGTGTGTCATGCACGTATGTGGTTTGTTTCAGTCCTTGGTCGCGGTGGAGCACATGTCAGAGGAAGCCTCAGTAGAGCCAATGCTGATGTATAAAGACAGATTCTTGTTTAGTAATTGGTCCTTAAGAGAGCTATAGACACATTCAGTCCAGTGTCCCACTGTTAAAACAGAACCTGCCTGGAACATGAAGGCAGGCAAGCTCCGGGAAGCCGTGGAATTGCTTATGTAGAAGGAGACAGGGCAGGCTAGATGAGGCCTTTACCCGTAAGATTATGTCATTGCTCTAGCAGGACAGAAAGCTTCCTGATGTAAGGCTGTGGTTTTGGAAGAGAAAGAACTGGTTTTAAAAGAAACTGCCCCACTTGAAGGCTTGTGGCACATAGTTTGTTTAATCCAGATTGGATACATCAGGTACAGCAGTGGCACAGGACTCAGTACTGTAAATGATATACATGTTATAACATATGCACTACGGTTTCAAAAGAAGACAAGAAACTTAAGAGCTTACTCTTCCCCCACAGAAAGTTTTCACATTTGTCTTCCTGCAGTTTTGTACAGTATATTTCTTTGCCATTGTGATGTTGTTACGCAAAGCCCAGTAATTATACGAAAATAGAAAAGAACACAGTTGATGTTTCTCACGAGAACATTAATGGGAGCTCATGACCTCTAAGGAAAACATTGGAATGTCTGGTTATCAAAAATATACCACCCCTCCCACCTCCCTGGCTTGTAAAATAGTCCCTTGGTCCAAGGAGTCCCCCAGGACTTGGGTCAGTGCCCTGCACTAGCTAATGTGTCATCAGCCAGCATAGTTGAAATAACCTGCTAAGATAAATGGCATTCCCACATTTGATGAGAAAACACAGAGTATCCTGAATAAAAAACAAGACCCATAAGGAACCCCGTTAAAAAGCCATTTCATTTTTCAAAGCCACTTTGCCTTGGTTCTGATGTTTTTCATGATGCTGTCTGGGCTCCACGTGTCATGGGTCACGACATTGTTTTTCCTTTGTCCCACTTTAAAGCTTTGCTAGTGATGAAAATTCATTAGGAAATTAGAGGAAAAATAAAAGTCTCATGTTCCTTGTACAATGGTTACCATGCCAACTAGAATGAAAGGGAAGCTATTACTCCCAGTGCTTGGTATTGGGATCCTTCTGCCTTACTTAGTTACCTAGTAATTGAAGTGAGGGAGCCTGAATCACTAGAATCCATTAATAATTTCAAATCTAATGCTAGCTCAATTTCAATCACTACTGCTATTTTTAAAAAGACAAGGAAAACGATCTAGGCATATAATGCTCCCAGGTACTTTTCCAACCTGCATTCTGATAAGAAAATGACTTGATCCTGAACTGCAGGGAAGAGAAACCAACTGTATAGCATCCTCAGCAGTTCTGTATGTGGTTTTTGTGAACCACGGATCATTTACTGTCCCCTTTAACATCTGATCAAATGATGTGGTCGTCGACTAACAATGTTCAGTTGTTAAGAATATCTACTGGTCTTTTGAAAGGGGTTCTGTACAATTAGTCCTGAGCTTGAGACTACTTAGGAAAAATGGGAATTAGGAAGAAATAATGGTCTGTTTCAGGAGGTCCTGCTACTTCTGGAATGGTTCCCTAATCATCACCCTTGAAACCCAGCTTTTAAAAATCTGAGCAAAACCTTAGAGCCATGGAACAGGATATAGAAGACACCCCCAGGACATGATGATGTTTGAGTCCTGGATCATCATAATTCTGCCACTGACTTGTCATGAAACCTAGGAGGAGTCATTCAGTCTTCTGTCCATTTCTTTCTCGGAATGAAGGATTTTCTAGGTTGACTCCCTTCACAGACACAGCGAGAAGCAATGGAAAGGTGTGCTTTGAAAGGTCATTGTCCAAGCCTCCTCTTCACTGAGAAAATCGAGCATTTGCTTGAAAAATCTTGGACTTCCCTTTTCACCTGTTTCTTATAGACCTGAACACCTGTAGCTGGCTCTACCCAAGAAATGGCCACTTTGATGTCTATAATTTGTACTAGTATAGTCAGGTGATTTCAGGACTACATCAAGTGTTGACATTTGCACGAGAGTGTCTCTAGTTATGTCATGGCATCTTTGATGGACCTTCCTCAACATATCAACTCTGCGAGGCAAAGGGTGTGTTAAAACAACAACAACAAAAACCCAAAACAAAACAAAAGCACATTAGACTAGTGGCCAAGGGTCTTGTGCTCTGGTCCCTAGTCTGTCCTTAAATGACTACATTACCTTAAGTAAGTCAAGTTCTCTGGCCTCAGCTTTTTACACTGTAAAATGAATTAGCGATTGTTTAATCTTCTCTAGGTCTGGTGTACCCAATATTACATTTTCCAAGGTATTCCCATTTATTATTTGAATGTAGTCTTAGGCTTTTTATATTTGTCTTTTTGATACCCTCTCCCCCAGTGCTAAGCAGCGTTGAATGGAGTGGTGGTTTGGAGAATTTTCGGTTATTCTAACATGGTTTGTGCACCAGGAGTCAATTGCACCAGAAAGCTCTTGGTCTCCAGAAGATTCTGATAATTCTGGTTCCTCACGTACTAGCTGGTGAGTCAGACTTACTAAACTGATCCAGCACACTTTTGCCCCTGTACTTGATCACAAATACCCTTTAGGAGATATATGGCTGTGAGCTGTTTTCCTGGGTTGATACTTTTGAACACAGGTGAGCTGGGTCCCTTATCCCCTGTCAAGACTGCAATGGGGGAATGAAAATGAAAATGGTCTAATGATTTTTTTGGTGGGGACAGGGGAGCTGGCATGATACAGGCTTTGGAAATGAAATAGAAGCAATACAAACATTCAGTTCACTCAAGTCAATAAAAATGGAATTTTGGGGGACACCGTTTTTAAAATACATTTCTTTTCATGAGAACCATAACGTGCTATGTCGGTGCACTGTCCAAGTGACAAGGAGATCCTTGGTTGAGTCATCATCCTGGCCCTGCAGTGACTTACTCAAATAGAAGAGTGGCTTGCACGTGAGCATCAGTGTGCCTTTAAACTGTATCCTATCCCACTCGGTTCTTCGGATGTATCGTGCACCTAGGCATGCCTTTGTCCCATGGTCCATTCATTCAAAATGAAGATCCCTTTCTAGTTCTTTGTGTATCTGCCCAAACTGGGTCCAGTTTGGCTCTCTGCCTTGGCTGATAAAATTACTGGATTGCGAGAATAGCTCCATTCCATGATAAGGGGAAATCCTGAGGCCAGATCTAGAGAAAGGACTGGCAGTAGCCACTGAAGATATACAGGGAGACGGAGATGGAGAGAAGGGCACTTTTCTTCAGCCATTCTGTCCACTTTCTTGTTTGGTACCACCTCAAAACACCCGGACTCCTCTGTGTACAGGGTCACTGGAGCTGAGGCCATAGAACCCCCGTGGGTGCTTTGAGGCCATTGGCTAGTAAAACTCATCTAGATAGCTGTACTGGGCAGAGAGAGTTTTGACTTGCTAATGAACAACTTATCTGTGGACTGTAGAATGGACAGAAGTTCCTAAGTAGCTCACGTGCCTCAGATCCCAGGCTTCAGAGATTGCAGGAAGTAGTTGGGGTTGGGAAGGGCAGGAAAGGGCCCTTGTCACTAACCCAAGACTCATCTGCTCCACTCTAAGTTGTGAAAATGATTAGGAAGATTCCAGAAATACTGTTCCCAGGCCCGCTACCATGTAAATAACTTGAGCAAACATACTGTCCACATTATCAAGAAGTAATCCCCACTCTCTTATTTGCATGGAGGTCATAAGACACACTTGGGCTGTCTTCAGGGATATGCCTGAAGACGACTGAGACCTCAGGGCCTCTTTTAGACCAGGAAAGAATCATCTAGAGCCTCTTGCTTGCTTTCTTGCTTTGAAACATCCCTCAGGAGGCACACACACTTAACCCTCATGCCCTTCATATAGGAACTGCCTTGGGCGGTAAGTCCATCGTCCTTATTTGAGGATGCTTGGCAGAGCGCTGCACAGGCTTTACCCATGGATCCTAAAGGAGGGTACATAGCAAGGTGCCCTGGAGCTCTGGCAGCTGGGAGCCTTGGTGCTTCTGTCTTCACCAGGGTAGAGCAAAAACGACTGCTTTCTGAAGTTGCTGCTTCCGTTTTCAAGACCCAGTGTGATACACGTGACCATCACCCCCCCCCCCCACAAACGGCAAAGACAAGTGGGTCCAACCACAAGGGAAGCACCTCTGTTCATAAGGTAGACTTACCTCACCCTTCAGCTCCCCCCACTTGGCTTCCTTTCCTTTCCGTATTTGCATTTGCTCGGCCTGACTCCCAGGCACAGGTCTGCAGTACTTGGCAGTGACAGAGAAGGCTTTACTGTCCACGGTGAGACAGATGGTTGGACACAGAAACAGCCAAGGTGAAGCAGATAGGTACAGAGACAGAGGAGACGGACGGACGGAGCAGAAGGGTTGCTGTGTGGTTGCTGGACAGCTCTGTGCAGGTCGGCTGGGCAGTGAAGGCCCAGCAAAGGTGACCTCACTCCTCCTGGGACTGGGGAGGGAACTCAGCAATAACTGACTTTGAGCCTCTAAAAGCTTTTGCTATAAAAGGAGAAAAATAAAAACCAACCTCACAAAATGCATCGTTTTGGTTTAAAGGTGTTGGGTCCATGGAGAAAAACAATTCACAAAAATCCATTGATTTTGTTTTCCACCTTTTCCCATGAATAAATATTATCCATTAAGATCCTTGAAAAAGGTGCTGAGTACACAGTGTTATATTTTCTTCCTGTTTGCATGTGACGGCTCGGCCTCTGGGCCACCCTTGATCTTGTGTTTTCCTCACTGGGGTCTTCAGAAACAACTGTTATTTGGTCTGAGGTGCCCCTACCAGGCCCTGTCCAGGCAAGTGGCCTACACCCCCTAATGCCTATTCCCTACCCCCCCCCTCCCTTCCTCAGGCCCCAGCAAGATGCAATGTCACAGGGCTGTGTCCATACCAGCAGCGGGAGCCTCAGGTCCCCTTTGCTGCTTCCTTTCCCTTCCACACACAGGTCTCAGTGCTAGGGGTGTAACAGGGCAGGCAGAAATAGTGGGAAAGGGGGAGGGAGTGGTCTCAGTGACCACCCACTAACATGCCAGCCCCCTTTACTCCCCACTACCCCCTCGGGCCCTCTGTCCGATGTTTTTACAAGGCAGAGACCTTGACAACGTTGCTGGCTATGGAAGGAATGTTCGTGTTGGGTCCTGGGCTGGCAGGAGGGGGCCGACTTTCTCCCTCTGGGGTTAGAGCCGGGGGCGTGGGGATGCTGATGATGGCCGTGGTAATCTGGGATGTTTTGCAGTTTGGTCTCAGTCCATCGTCTGCTTTCAAATTAAGGCTGGAACGACTGGGATAGAAAAGAGGGAGTTGGTGGTGGTTCCTGCTTGCGGGCGCCCCAAATTCCCTCGACCCCCTGCATTGCTTTTGCTCTATGCTCTGTCAAGGAACTCTAGGGCCCTTTATGTCTCCCTTAAACAACCAGCTTATAATTACCACCCTAACCACTATTAACAAATACTAAATGATCAGATAGTAGTATTTCTTCCCAGCCCCCGGGGGCTTATCACTTGTGATGTTACAACAGTTGCTTTCCCCGAATTCTCTGCAGCTTATTAAGGATAACAGGAGGGGCTGGAGAGGTGGCTCAGCGGTTAAGAATACTGTACTGGCTGCTCTTCCAAAGGACCCAAGTTCAATTCCCAGCACCCATATGGCACCTCACAACTGTCTAACTCCAAGATCTGACACCCTCACACAGACATACATTCAGGCAAAACACCAATGCATATAAAATCATACTTTTTTTAAAAAAAGAATAACAGGAAATGGCTTAACCATAAGCAGAGGAGGAAAAGTATACCTATGATTCACAATCAGCCTGGGATAAGCCACATATGTAAAAGTATTTTCTTAGAAAAATGATCATAGTCCAGCTTTTTCAACTTTTGGGTTCTTTTTGCGCCCCCCCCCCCAACTATCTAAAGCCACAATTGAGTTAAACTGCCACAGTACCATCTAATATACCACGAAGACCCTTGGATTAACTTCAAAGCATGAGAAGGAAGGTGGGGGAGGAAAGCAGAGGGGCCCCAAGAAGTGGATAAGGGGGACCATTAGCGGGGATCCCTGAGGCTCTAACGCGGAGATTGTTTAATTCTGGAAAGCGAATGACTCAAGACTTTGGGGCTGGCGGGATTGGAAGCCACCCACCTGGTGGTGAGGGAGGGCTGCTCGCTGCCCTGGATGTGGATCGTGCTGAGTTCTTGCATGCTGCGCAGGCGCGTGGCCGGCAGGTTGGAGTTGGGCAGGTGTGTGGTCTTCTTACTGCGCCGGGAGCAGCAGGTGGTGGTGAGGCCGGATTGGCTGGACAGAGAAGGACTCCTGGTGGACGGGTAGTTCTGCATTGAGCTCTCCATGCAGTTCTGCTCAAACATCTGCTCGTCGATAAACTCGTGGTTCTGTGGAAGGAAGGAGAAGACGTGAAAAAGAAGAAGGGAGGTGGGGAGGGGGGCCAGTCTCTGAATGGCTGCCTGACTGTTTTTTTTGGCCTTTAATGGAGGACCCCCAAATGCCTGGATTACAGGTAAGTATTTGAGAGGAGTTTCATTTCCACAGGTGTCAATGTCAAAAGAATCAAATTGGCCTCCCTGGCCATTAGGCTGGGCAGGGACTCGGTGGTTAAATCATGGGTCATATGCTCCATCTACAGGTTGAGCGGAAGGGACCCAGAGGACGTGGAGGGTCCCAGTGGCATCATCAGAGCTAGAATCAAATTTTTCTTAGCAAGCTCTGAAGCCATTGGCTGTGAGTCTTCTAGGTCACCTTTGCACACCTGATGACTCTTACAGGTGTGACCTAAGTTTGTAAAAGTTTGGACCAGTCACAGAATTGGGAGAGCATTGCTCTTGATCGCAAAGGGGTCAAGCTGCTAAGGATAAGATTTCTTCTAATTTTGTCTTCTTTTCGCCTGATTATAGCATATGGATCCTTAACTACCTGACAGTTCAGGATTCCCAAGGTCAAATGTAAGCTAGGGAGAGGATGTTAACGGTTTTGGATCTGTAGGCCATGAGGGTGGCCTATAGCTAAACACAGAACAATGGAAAAATGGCTGCTTGACCAAAGTGCCCAAAACCCCGTGGCACTGGCAGTGTGAGGAACTAGAGAAGTGTAAGGACAGAGTTCAGAGAATGTCCCCTGGTGGTCAGTACCAGAGTTCCCAGGACACCGAGAAGGTAGCAGAGAGGTGCGTGGCATACGGGCATTCCAGAGGAAACTGACCTTGGAGTTCCACTGCCCCCCTCTAAGCCCCTGGGGGTGTCAAAGGAAAGAATAGGAAAGGAAATTGGGTCGTGTGGGTGCAAAACTACTGGAAGCCTGCGCTGGTACTGGGTGTGGCAGCAAAGACAGCAAAAGCCCAGGGAGGATCGGCAGCACATGCAGAAACCAGACTAGGGGTGAGCAGAGTAGATCCACAGACTCAAGATTCAGAGAGAACAATTGAATTTATAAAGCGATACCTTGATGGTGGAGGTTCGTACAGATAACAGGGGATCATCCACAAGATAGGATAACCCCTACAGGACAACATGCCAACAGAAGATAGAAACACCATTGATTGTACATTCCAGCATTCCAGTTTGGACATTCAGTTTCTCAACCCCAGCATTCCACCCTCCGAATTCAACATTCCAGCCCCCCGTTCCCAGCATTCTGCTTCCCTTGTCCCAACATTTCATCCCTTGGTTCCAACAGGACACTGCTTAACCCATCATTCACACGTTCCATACCAACATTCCTCCTTTTCTGTCCCAACATTCCACCCCTGGGTCCCCCATTCCTTCCCCCAAATCCAGCATTCCGACATCCCATCCCTATAATCAATCCAACATTCCCTTGGCTTCAGCATTCCACCCCTTCAATGCCAGCATTCCATCCCTCAGTCCCCCAGTGCCAACATTCCAGCCCTTCAAACCCCAGTTTTCACCCATGTCCTTTCAATGTACACATTCCACCCAGCACATGCAACTTGGAAAGGGCAGTGGGGCAGTGTCGTCCCATTGGCAAGCTCGGTGTCCTTGGGAGAACCCTGGGAGATAGGCAGACGTGGATTTTGACCATAGTTGCTGGGACCTGGGCTTGCAGAGCACTTTCTCCTTTAGAAGATCTCACTGGGTTTCCACGGTCATCTATGGGGTCCACTTTTGGCCCAGAGTAAGAGGAATCTAGCATCTGGGAGGTCAGGTTATGGGCTACTAGGAACTAGGAAGCTCCTTTCAAGGGTAGGATGAGCCGTGACCCTAGGCCCTTTGAGTAGGAAACTTCTGGAAAGGATCAGGGAATAGGCTCACTTTAGTATTTCTGTTCAGACTTCTCCCACCCTAGGATTCCGAACACTTCTGCCAAGGGTTCAGGGTTGGCCCTACTGCCCCTTCCTCTTAGGCTGTCAGTAAGGCACAAGCATCATTCCCATTCCAGCTATGGCGCCCTCTGCCATGATCTCCTTTAGCAATCAGCCTTTCACAGTCTGAACTCCCTGCCAAAGTGCAAAGTTACTAAGTGGGACTGGGACTGATAAACCTTTGGCTAAAGAATAATTATACTGCATCCTTCATTCATGCATGCGCAAGGGGACCCACGGATTGCCTCAACCCAACTACGGGGGTGGGACAAAAGTCTTCCCTCTTCTCTACTGTCCTGTGTAAATTCAGCCTGAATCTTGTTGGGTGGTGCCCATCAGAACTGAGAATGAAAAACAAAACTCTTAGTTGTTAAGACTCACGCTGCTGTTAGAGGGGGAATGGGAAGACTATGAGAGGGGTCTCTTCTCACAGCTAATCTCTCACTCAGGTGACCTTGCCCCACCCCCTGGGGTGTCTACAGACCATTGGAAGGGGACAGACTGACTATCTTGCCTAGGACGACAAAGCGAATACAGCCTTGGGAGGTCAGGGGTGAAGCAGGAGGGGCAGGAGGCTGGAACTCACAGTGGTCTTTTCTAGGCAGTGCAGCAAGTGGTGGTGCTGGCTCTCAATGAGCGAGGTGGCCTTGCCCGTGTGCTCCTCTTCTGGGGTGCCCTAGGGAGACAGAAAGAAAGGGCTAAGACTAAAGCTGGCGTCTTCCCCTCTCTTCAGCCTCTTCATTTCTTCACAGAAGGTAGGAGGGCAGGAGAAAAATCTTGATAAGCCAAATCTTAGGGCCACCATAAAACCTGCTGGCCTGGGGGCCCTTGTCAGCAGCTGGTTTATGGGCAGCAGTGATAATTCTAAGAGAGCACTATGTTTGTGGGAACCCTGGAGACATGTTTCTGTCAGAGTCTAAACTGGAGCATTCTGGGCAAGTGCTGATACCTGTGGATGAGCAGAGAAGCCCATTTCTAGTTTATCTCCTCCTCCCAGTCTTCTGGACGCTTACCGTCAGCTCCAGGGCTTCATTGAGGAGCCCATTGCGCTTGCTGTGCAGGTAGGCATTGGAGCTTCCTGTTTTGGCCACACGGATCCTAGCAAGGCGGGCCTTCTGTGATGGGTAGACAACAAGAAAAGCAGTCAGATACAAGAAGAGGAAGCCTGGCTGAACCAGTGACAACAGCTGCCCCACTGAGGCTGCTCTCCCTAGCATCGTGTGAGAAGGGAAGAAAGCTCCCCTGTCTTAGCCTGATGCATCTCTGTATCTAGCCCATGGAATGGATCTGAGACCTGTGCGCCCACTATTGCGGTTTAGCCATGGTCAGGGCTCTATGAATCGTCACTAATCTTCAGCCTGGGTAGAGTCCTGGTGGAAGAAATACCATATTTTCAAGTTCTTTCTCCTGAAGCCTTTCTGGTATTTTCCACTCGGTATTGCATGATGGCATGAGCCATTCTATTACTTCCTATCTCTAAGGAGACTGTAGGGTTCTAGAGGACACCGTGTGCTAACTGCTCTCAGTCCCTCCTGGGTTCCAGGGTGGTTGGCTCTCCGTGTGCTGTACGTTCCCAGGACAGTTAGTTACGAGAGAAAGCAAAGGGAGCAGCGGCACCGCCAACACCTCCTAACTCCCTCGTCTGCTGGTCTCCTGGCATTTGTCACTAGGGTAGCGCGCGCGCGCGCGCGCGCGCACACACACACACACACACACACACATGTCTACTGGTCTCCTGGCATTTATCACTAGGGTAGCGCGCGCGCTTGTCTGCTCTTCTCCTGGCATTTGTCACTAGGGTAGCACACACACACACACACACACACACACACACTCGTCTGCTGGTCTCCTGGCATTTATCACTAGGGTAGCACACACACTTGTCTTGCTGCTGTTTTTCTCCTGTGCTAGAATGTAAGCTCCTTAAGGGCATGAAGTTCGCTTTGTTTGTTGTTCTTCTTAATTAATTAATTAAATTATTTATTTAGTTTGGTTTTTCGAGACATGTTTCTCTGTGATCTTTGGAGCCTGTCATGGAACTTGTTCTGTAGACTGGACCAGGCTGGCTTCGAACTCACAGAGATCAGCCTGCCTCTGCCTCCTGAGTGCTGGGATTAAAGTCGTACGCCACCACTCACTTAACTTTTTAAAGTTAAGAAATATATCTATAGGTTTATAACTGACTTTGGGAGCTGATGGATGTGTCAATATACATCTGTGTTGTGCACAGGCATGGGAAGGATATAGTGTACACAGAGGTGGCCTGGTGTGTTTAAGGCAAAAAGGAACTACATTCCAGGATACTACATTGGCTTTATCTAGCACAGAGCTAAAACCCTCCCTGGGAAAGCCCTCAGCAGACAACCTCCTCAAGATGGGGGCTGTAGCACAAATAGTAAAATCCAGAGATAGATACTGAGGTTCAACCTAAAGGTCAGAAAAGCAAATTGGCCAGCCATTGGCTCCTACCTCTACCTCAGTCCAAAATGGCGATCCTCACTCCAAAAATCTCAGAATGGCACTGTGTCTGTGAGCTCTCTCCTCCCATCTTCTAGGGCTGGGATTAAAGGTGTGCACCACTGGGGTTAAAGGCATGCACCACCCAGTTTCTATGGCAACTAGTGTGACGACTGAGATTGAAGGTGTTTGTCACACTGCCTGATCCGTAAGGTTGACCAGTGCGACTGTTTTATTCTCTGACCTTCAGGCAAGCTTTATTTATTAAAACCCAAATGAAACATCATCACAGGGGGCTGTACAACATCTTGAGCCAAGCTCATCTTACTTGCATGCTGAGGGGATGGCCATCTGATATATACTAGCTGCTCTTTGTTTTTTGTTTTCTGTCTAATGATCGCCAGCCACAGCACAACAGAAAGAGAAGACCATGAAGAAGTTCAGTCGTCTGGGACTGGAAAATAGCCCTGTGGACTTAGAGTACTTGGGCTCTACAGATCCAGAACCAGTTCCACGCTATTGCTTCAAGCAGAAGAGTCCCTGAGATCCATAGTTGCAGTCTGAAGTGGAGGATTCTCTTCCTGCCTCTGGGTACAGTGACGTGTAACTTGAACCTGGACCCTGATCGATAGGTTCTGGGAAATGGTGGCAATTTTCATTTCTTGTTATCCCCTCCCAGCTATCCTGCGTGGGTTGGTTCGTCTGCTAAGAGGCCATGGACTGTCAAGAGGATCATAGAGGCTACGTTGTGTTCCCTGTTTCCCAAGAACTCCCCACCCACCAGTGTCTCCTTGCAGCCCAATTAAACTCTTTCCCCTGGTCTTTAAATGTGGGACAGAGGCTAGAACTTGAGTTGGAAGGTCTTCCAGTAAGTCCAAGGTCTTCCAGCTACTCCTCTCGATGGAGAGGATGAAGAGGAAGATACGAGACAGAAAGGCCTGCAAGTCAACCCTGTCACCCTCCCTGTCTCTGAGCAAAATACATTCATTCATTCATTCCATGACGAGGATGAATCTGGCCAGCAACCCTGCTGCAGCACCCCCCTGCCACAAGTGGCCAGATGTTTATAGTCAAGTGAGTTCCTCCCTGTTCATGACTTGGCTGCTGTCACTTTGGGAGAAGGCTGGGCGTTGAGAGCTGCGTATGGAAATCCAATTGTGTCAGGCTCATTACAGCCTTATGTAATCTGATTGCCACTTAGAGGCGGACCTTTCTCATATGTGGGGTCTGTCTTTATTACTTTCCAGAGATGAAAGTTTCTCCTGTTCCCCTCTGAGACACCTCTTTTAATCTTATCTCACTCTGGATTCTATTAAGGTAGAAGATTGTCACATCAAACACAGCGTATCGTTTAATCATTCCCAAACGGGAAACAGAGGTTTGAGGAAGGCTGGCAGAACCTGCCAGTGTGTGAAACCTGATGGTGTGCTCTGCTTGGTTCTGTGCTCCTGAGGGTCTGGGCCTGGGTCTTATGCACATTCTTTTATTGCCAGCATCCAGTGCATGCTCTGCCTTGAACAAGAATTCAAGCAAAGACTGTGGTAGGCAAAGAAGGAAAGCCAAGCATGCTGAGCTGGGCATCTATGCGTGTAAAGCCCTTGTAATGGGCTCAGTCCTTGTGCGGACTGGTCAGCTTCCGCTCTCCTCCACAACCATAAGGACACTATAAAAGACAAGAGACTGGAGAGCTCATCTAGGCTGTTTCAAAGGCCGAACAATTGATAATGAATTGATTTAAAATAAGGGGTGCATGAAAGGGAGCCACTCAGCCAGAGTGAGGGAATGGATTAGAAAGGGTTCAGCTCATGTCTTCCAACTAGGAAGTCAGACACAGCTTTCACAGCATCTTTCTCCTTCCTTCCTCGAGTTCACCTCCTTTAAACTTGAAGGGCAAAGCCCAGGAACCTGCATCTTCAACAGGCGTTAAGTGGAGCTTTGGGGTTGGAGGAGAGTTCTGGTACAACACTGTCAGCCTGGGACATGGCCTGCCACCATTACTGATCAAGATCATTTGGGGACCCCTGTGGAGCCTGGCACAACTGGGACTTTCTAGCTGGCAGGGATGGCCTGGACATGAGTCTTTGCATCTCTTGCCCTGAAAGAGGCAGAAGGAAGACAAGGGAGAAAAGGAAACACAGGCAGTTGTACACTTAGACATTCATCAGAGAGACAGTAAGATTTATGTAGATGGAAACCCATACATGAGAATGCTTGAGAATGCTTATTTGTAATAGCTGGAAACCATTTCTATCCCAGAAGCTCTTCAGCAGGCAAACATCCAACAGAACATGGCTGAGTGAGAAAAGTGAATGGGCTTTTACATTTTTTTTTTTGAGACAGAATCTTAATTAGTTACCTAGGCTGGCCTTTGGATGATGCTGTAGCCCAGGCTGACCTGGAACTTAGGATTCTCCGGTTTCAGCCTCCTGAGCATCTGGGATCACAGACCTGCATCACTAGGCCTGGTATAAGAAACTAGTGATACAATTTGAATGGGTCTCTGGGGATTACATGGATGAAAAAGGCCAGCTCCCAAAGGCTACCAGCTGCATGAGTGCACTTATGTAAGTTTAGAGATGAAACCATTTCATAAGTGGAGATCAGAGAAACAGTTCCTAGGAGTAAGGGGCCTGGTAGAAATATAGCAGGAGCACAGTCATAAAAGCCACAAGGGTTCTCTTGTGGGAACTGGCTGCTCTCACAGCCATGAAGCTGCTGGATCTGTAGGAACCTACATGGGTGAGGAAACTGTAACACACATGCAAACAGCCACACACACACACACACACACACACACACACACATGCACGTACACACACTGGGGAAGATGGGTGAGAAGCATATACTCTTTGCGCACTGTATGGTTCTCTAAAATGTCACCATTAGATAAAATTAGGCAGAGTACAAACAGGCGCTATCTTTTTGGAACTATATGTGCAACTACATAATCTCTAATTATTCCAATAAAATGTTCCACTAAAAACAAAGGATATGGTGCAGGGGGTGTAGCTAAGGGATAGAGTATCTTTCCCTACCACGCACAAGGCCCTAGGCTTCATCCCCAGCACAACAAAAATAAACATGTAAGCAAAACTAAAACAATCTCCCTTGAAACCAAAAAGTGGGTGGAGCTGGGACAGGCCGTGGCTTCTCCAGCCCTATCCCAGGTGCCTCTTGCTAGACAACCTTGACTTATCTCTGGTTCTCTTGGCCTAGGGAAGACAGTCCCCACAGGTAGATGTGACATGAATTTCTTTTGGAGCTTTTATCCACGAAGCACCTTCTCTGGAGCTTACTTTTCTGCCCAAGAAGCTATCAGAAGCGTGGTCAGAGCTGAGGGCTATCATTAGCCTCCCTGACCTCCTCCCTGTCCGATCTCTCCACTTTCACCAAGTCCCCTGGGCCGGCCCTGCCTTGGCTCACCGTGACAGAGTGCTAGAAACAGACAGTATTGGTTTTTTTCCTCTTGCAGGAAGCCCAAGGTGAAAGAGACAGAGTGGTGTCACCTTGAGGAGAAACAGTATCCAGGCTAGGGAAAACATTGTAAATATTTACTTATTTCAAAGGAGAGAGAAAGGGGTTGAACAGGGCTCATCCTGAGTAGCTCAGAGAGAGAGAGGACAAAGCCAGAATTGGTCCTTCTGGATGTAAATCGCACACAATAAGCTTTAAACTCCCCGTGGGAAACACTCACTGTTATATAGAGTCTTTGCAGGTGGGCTTCACTGAGACGTGGGAATGGTGTGCCCAGGAAGGAGAAGGTAGCTGGAGAGCACGGCTACCTCTGGAGGGGCTGTCACCATCGAGCCTGGCACTTCTGAGAACCCCACCAGCTCTGCAAAAAGCCCGAGTTTGTGCTTGCCCACTTTTAAAAGCTGTGAGGGCGAATGTGAGCCGCAGGATTCCCTGGACCTCAGGACCTCAGAGTTTGGCTATGAGAGCCCAGTTTTTCCTCTGCCTCTTTATTTAGAACTGCGTGATGAATTTAGTCATTGTTTGCATTGGCCAGCTGACTTGAGAAGGGAGAGATAAGACTTCCATTTCGGGAGTGTCTGGGAGTGGGGAGACCTTGACCTTGGGTGAGGAGATGGAAGATAGATGCCGTAGGCAATGAGGATGTCAGAAGAAAGACCTTATTCTGGTGACTTCACCGACCAGGCACAGGTACGCGGAAACAGGAAGGTAAGGAGGAGGTGACACAAGGACACACAAGAGGTCATATTTGGGATACAGGGACCAAGTAGGCTTAGTATATGATTATATTATTTACTGTCCTACCTATGTAAATTGTTACGCTGCCATTGTTTTAGAGTTAGCTTAAACTTGTGGCTTTGTTATAGTACCTACAGATCTATACTGGGGTTCTAGAGGGTTTTGTCCAGTATTAGGCACTGCTACCCAGGGGTTATTCTTGCAAGTGGGAATAAGTAATCTAGCTGCAGGGCCGGTCACAGAGAAGGTGCTTACATAAATGTCTGTAGACGTGGAGGGATGGAAGAAAGAATAAAACACAGAGAACAAAGTCATTGTCGTGTCTAAGATAATCTTCCACCAAGGTGCCTTTCTGTCCTTTGTACCCAGAGACTCTGATCATGACCCCAGAGCCTGAGACAATAAGGGGACCATTTTCAGCCCAGATCAAAAGGGAAGTCGAACTCTCCCACAACAGACATCCCTTCTCTTCTAGCCTTTGCCAACTTGGTCAAATTTAGAATCACCCAGGAGACCGGTGAGACACACACACTCTCAGAATGTCTGTGACGGCCTTTATAGAGAATTAACTGAGGAAGACCCACTTCAGTAAGAGTGGTTCTGTAGGCTGTGGGCTCAGGTGGAAAAACAAAAAGCAAACCCAAAAAGACAGCTGAGCGCTGGCATTTCTTCCCTTTTGGCCACCTGTCCACCAAGAGTGAAGGACAATCCCCACCATGTGCTCCCCTTGCTGCCGTGATGTTTGGGGGCCAAGCAGACAGACTAATTCTTCTGAAACTGTGAGTCAAAATAATTATTTTTTTATTATAAATGACAGGCATTTGTCATAGCAATGTAAATGTTAATGATATAGGACCCTGGCAAAAGTCCTTGGCAGGAAAATCTCTGGAAGATGCCCTGGGGTTGGTGGTGTGGCTTTAGAGTCCTAGAGAGAAGCCTGAAGGCCAAGTGCAAACAAGGCTTCTGAGCACACCCACCTATAGACATCTTGCTCTGTACTGGCAGAAAATATTTTACTTATCTGTCATCCTAAGTACAGACTTGGCAGAACCGAGAACTTTCCCCAGGCCTGAGGCCGACTCTCCAGCTGTCAGTTGAGTTCTGTTACTTTGCATGGCACCTGGTGCTATCTAACATTTACTGTGCCACTTGACCCAGAATGTCGTGGTCACGGAATGCTCTCCTGTCACGGCGTGCCTTTCTCTTTTCTCCACATGTATTTTTGCACATGTATCGCCCCTCAACAGGATATGAAAATGACATTTTGTTTCCTGGTAGGCCCTGGGATGGGAAACAGAGGAACCAGGAGTTGCTTGGTGGCCATGACTGGGCATGTAGATGTTGAGATATGGGTCAGTTCAATAGATTCCTTAAAAGGACAATCCAGTTATGTGTCAGTAGTGAGGGCTTGCTGCATTCTGAAGCAGTAGACTGGGGCTGGAGCTGAGGACATTGGTGGGTAGGAGGGGTCATGAAGTTGCCTTATCTCTCCAAGCCAGAGGGAATCTTGCAGAAACCTGACAAGCCTACCACTCTTCCTGCTCCTCCCTCCCGCAACCCTGTTTTTGCTTTGTTTTGTTTTTTAATTTTATGTATATTAGTGTTTTGCCCTGCGAAGTTTCAGGTCCCATGAAACTGGAATTACAGACAGTTTTGAGCTGCCATTTGGGCGCTGGGATTTGAACCTGGCTCCTCTGGAAAAGCAGCCAGTGGTCTTAACCACTGAGCCATCTCTCTAGCCCCCCCCCCCCAACCCTGTTTCTGAGGCTTACCTTCTGTGCCCTGCGTTTATCAGCTCTCTGGTTCTGGTGGTAGATCCTGCTAAAGTTGGAGACTATCACAGGGACTGGCAGAGCAATGACCAGGACACCACTCAGGGAACAGATGGAGCCAAATATCTTCCCCGCGATTGTCTTAGGCACCATGTCTCCATACCTGTAAGAGAGAGGGAGAGGGGGAGGGGGAAGAGAGGGAGGATGTAAGGGACCATTTGGGAAACAAGCGAGGCTACCCAGCCGATCATACACTCTCACACACATTCATTCACTTATCAATATATTTCACAGCATCTACAGGGGCCAGTGATACAGTCTCAGAGCAAAAGAGGCCAAACCTGTATGTTCACGGAGCCAGGTTTCTACAGGGAAGGCCACACACGAGTAAACGATAACATGGAAACATTTGGCGGTAAAAAGATAAGCAGATCACGAAAGGTCAACATTACATGTTCTCACTCATCAAATCTTAGATTTGTGTTTAGTCTGGAGTATCCGGAGAACCCAGAAAACCAGAAAGGGACCATTGGTGGGGAGGGGGAAGAAAGATCTTGTGGGAGGGAGGGAGGAGAACGCACCATAGGTACTGGAAGGGGAAAGGGGAATGGCAGGGAGTGGGGTTTCCATGGGAAGAGGGATGTAGGGCAAGGGGGTGGAGGAGGGACAACCAACTCCAAAGATACTTGAAGAAGTGACGTGGCAACCTCCTAATTTATAAATTTCATATATATGATATAATTACACAAACAAATTTAATTGCAGTTATCTGTATAGGGATTAATGCTCCTCCCAGAAGCGATACGCTGCCAAATAAAATACCTAGTGTAGGATAGCTCCCCCTTGAGTTGTCAATCAAGAGTGTCCTAGAGACCCCGAAACAACACAGCTGATTGCTCTTGGCTGACCACCAGATCTTGGTAAGATTTTATTGCTGAAGACACGGCACACACTGGTCGTAGAGTGCGAAGAGGTCAGGTGGGTACTGACCAGCAAGTTTCCTCCCTGCTGGCCAGCTTTCAGAGCACTCGAGAACACTCTGTGGGCTTCTGGGGAGCAGGGAGTCAGCAACATTCTTACTCAGCTGTGAACTCTGTGAATTGTAATAATGGCCAGCATGGCATGTCGTCCTGTGTTCATGGACGACAAAGCAGAATGCATGGTATGGGGGTAACCAATAACTTTTGTTTGCGGTTAAGACCTGATCTACAGGAGTCCCCACCCCTAAATGAGGAGTGATAAGCATTTGACGGCTTTTTGTGGGGAAGGACAGTCAGTTTCCTGTGAAGATATGACTCCTGGTAGATCAACTGCAATCCAGTGGCAGTCCCACACCCATATGTGGATGTGGACAGCACACATTGGAAAGCACATGCCTGGTATGGTAAATCCGGCCAAGAACTCATGGTTGAGGAGCTCTGAGGCCTGAAGTGGGAACTTACTGCTATTATTTCTCCAGATGGACATGGTATCAAACTGCTCTTTAAATTCAGATCTGTCATAGGTTATAGGTGAAGCCCCTCACACCACATCAGGGAAGTTTCTTTGTGAGTAGACGGTGGTTAAGGCAGAGCTCAGAAGAGGTCAAAGGTCAGAGAATAAGTGACTGTGGAGTACTCAGCCACTCATGAGGCACCTATGTCATAGTTCCTTCTCAAGGCTCAGCAGCCATCGTGGATGAGGGGACAAGAAGATCCTAAGACCCAGAGTCTGGGGAAGCCTGAAGCAAAGAGTGTCTTTTGGCCACCACAGAATGGCGGCACTCATGAGCTCACAGTGGCTGTGGTGGCCTCCACAAGATCAAGCTTGTCAACATTTGAGCATGGTGTGAGAAGGGGTTCATGAGTTCCCACCCCTAACTGAGGAGATACGGACATCTGATGGCTTTGCGGGAGGGAGGGACAGTCCATTTTCTTTGAAGGTATGGTTCCTGGTAAGTCAACCACACTCCCTGTGGACAGGGCAAATGTTGGGTGAATGAATAAATAAATGAATAACTCCATGTAAGTTCCCCAAAACCTTATGAAGCAGGCTCTGAGGACTGTTTTTCTCATGGTTCAGAGCCCCGGGTTCCGATTTAAGCTTCCCAGGCACACACTACCATTAGGACCTGGTTCTTTTGTGACCACATTTGCCTCTTCAGTCTTGACGCTCAGAAAGTGGGGAGGCCGAGAGCTTGGAATTTTTTACTAAGATGATCTGGATTCAAGACTCTCCGAGACCATCATTAAATAACTGTGTGATCTTGGAAGGTTGTTACTTTGGGCCTCAGGTTCCTTTATAAGAAGAAACTAACAAAGGTAACCGATGTTAGCATCTCGCTGTGATATGTGTAGCTTCTGAACATTAACCTCGCTAGCTTTTCTGCAAGCATCCTGAAAACCACAATTTCTATTGGGGATGGAGTGCTCTGAAAACAGTCCCATTGTTTTAAATCCACGTAATCCCAGTGATAGAGACAAGCAGCTTCCATGCAATAGATTATGTTAGCTTTTCAGACAACATGACTAGCTCAAAGGTAGTTGTGGGTCCACAAGCATGGATGATACTAAAGATGACGGGAGACTGGAAGGTTGCCTTTGAGAGTAGCTGAAGCTGGCTTATGCTAAGTAAAACATGGTGGTTGTTTTAAAGGTTTGAAGAAAGAACAAGGTAAGGGGAGCTATACCTGGGCAGATGGTCTGAGGAAGCAGACGATGGGGAAAACAGAATGACTCCACTCCCGGGGACTTCTGCCTTCTCTATGGAGAGGAATGTGTTTCATCTGGAGAAGGCTGGTACTGATGCAGATCAGAAGGGTCTGGAGTCTGGGAGGGAGAGTGGGTAAGTGCCTGGCTGGACTTGGGTGAATTCCCATCAGTGGTGCACAAGGCCCCCACCAGGAGATGGGAGGGAGTCCAAGTGGAGGCACAGAACTACTATCTGTGATCTCTGATCACAGCGCAGCAGAGAAACACCACGAGGCTAGATGGTTTTGCTGGTATTTTTAAAGTGAGAAACCACAGACCAATGGGCTTGGCATCCATCACTTCTGTCATCAGATTGCTGGCAGAATTCTAAAGCAGATTATTAAGCGGACAGCTTGCGAACGCTTGGAAAATAAGCCGTGTTTGGTTTGTTATGCACACATCTTGCCAGCTTAACCTTATTTCTTGTTTTGAGAGTGAGGTTAACCGGCTGGCAGATCGGGGATGGCTAGAGGCCCATCGTCAAGGCTTTGCAGGATGCCTTCTTGCCCCAGTTCTTCATGTCCTTGACTAGCTACAGGAAGCAGTTGGATGGAGGAGTGGGTAGGAGGGGCTGAGTGACCGTCTCTAGTCTTCTGGCACTTTTTCAAGATTCAGTGCTCCTGTGCCAGCAAAGGAAGTGCACAGCTCTGCTAGCAGGGTCCCCTTTATTGAAGGAGTACATATCAATAAACTTAAAAAGGAATCTAAAGTTAAGTCTCCAGTGGTATGTTCCAGAATTTTCCAGCAACTTGTATAAAGCCAGAGGGAGACAGCATGGCCTAATAATTGAGAGAAGATCTGGAATCAGACATGGGTTTATACCTGGGTCATTATGACTCACTGACTAGTTAAATGACCCTGAACAATACTTAATCTGAGCCTACGCCACCTATAGAATGGACTTCATATCCCCGGAACTGTGATGATAATTCAAAAAAGTGTTTAGTTTCATGCTTGGGTGATTGCATATTGTCTATAGTGGGTGGACTTGCTTTTCTCTTCAGAGTCTGTGCCCCTCACTCACCAGTATGATATGAGCTCTGTCTAAAAATGCTGCCAACCACACACTGACCACACTGCTCTCATTTCCTCTGGTCCTAGCAAGTTCAAAATAAGACATCTTCCCTAAGTTGAGTCAGTGAGTGTCCATCCTAGATTTGTCTGTGGCCACTTTATTGCAATACAGTTACCACACCAAGTAGTATATTCCATCAGTTTCTAGTGTAGTTGCCCAGCTGTGCTTCTACCACCCAGGGTAATTGTTTGTTTTTTCCGGAGAGCAAATCTGGGACTACACATCCGAAGGGCGTGCACTCCCACCAAGCTATACCTGAAGCCCCTAGCCCAAGAATATTTTCATTCCTTTCTTTCTTCCACTTTCTCTCCCTCCTTCCGTTTTTCATCTTCTTTTTGCTTTTTAGTTCTGGTTGAGTGTGTGTGTGTGTGTGTGTGTGTGTGTGTGTGTGTGTGTGTGTTAGAGAATGATCCCATGACTTCCTGCATGCTACACAAATGTCCTACCATTGAGCTGTATCCCACCCATGGGACATTTTTAAAACTCACCCAAACCACACATTCATTAGCAGTCTGAGACTACCCACAGCCCACTGATGTTGTCTCTCTGTAGCTTTCTCTCCTTTGAATGTTTCACCCATGAACCACAGAACTTGTGGTCTTTGTGTCTGACTTCTTTTTACTCAGCATGTTTAAGACTCAACCACGGTCTAGCCTGTATCAAAACCTCCTCACTCCTTATGTCTCAATCATATTCACTTGTGAGGATAGGTCAGTTTTGTTAACTGATTTATCAGCTGACAGGCAATGGGATTATAGCCACGTTTTACCTATTATAGAGGATGCTTCTTCATGATAGGTGAACAATTGTGTATTAACTTTACATGACTGTGTTCTCATGAGCTAGGGGTCACATGGTAATGCTTATCAGTGTGAGGTACAGCCAGGCTGTTTTGCACAGAATAATATTTTGCAACCCCATCAGTGATGAATATGGGGTCTGATGTGTCTTTATCTAAGATAACACTTGCTATTTTTGTCTTTGCCATGATGGCTTCTGTAGTGGCTGTAAAGTGGTATCTCAGTGCTGTTTGGTTTGCGTTTTCCTGATGGCTTCTGATGCTGGCACCTTTCTGCCATCTCCGGATTGTACCTTGTGGTTTACCGCATATTAGTGAGTTGCCCTGCGCTATTTAAGCTTGTCCAAAGCATTCTCTGGAGGTCAGGAAGCCCTCCCTGATCTTCCACAAAATTCTCTGTCCTGGGGCAGGCTGCTTCCTCCTATCTCTGTAACCAGGAGAAAGAAAACAGCAAAATAGCTAAGGGGTTTAAAAACATGGTGTCTTTGAGAACAGCTAGAAGATAAATTATTTCTAGTCAAGGTTGGTAATATTTATTCCGTAATACAGAATGCATACATTCTACAATGTGGGAACAGGAAGCAAAAACCTATCCATGGAGAAGATGGAAAGATCTTTCCACCCAAGACTGTCTCAACCAGGAACTCCAGCTGACTGCCTCAGTTTCCCCGGTCTGTTTCTGCTGGATGAGTGTAAGGCCTCGACGTGATGATGTATTGCTCTGTTGCTATTTGCTCTTTTACTTGGAAGCCTCACCTGAGGGGACACTGTTCTTTCCAGGACTCTCTCGATCAAGAACTCCAGCTGGCTGCCTCAACAGGGCTTCCCAGTCAATTTCTGCTGGATGTTTGTAAGCCCACGATTTGATCCTTTTACCTACTGTTTGCTTTCTCAGTCGATTTGACGTTGTTTTGCCATCTCTCTGCCGTTTCAACCTGTCTGCTCCTTGCTATTTACTCCTTTTCCTTTTGCTTGCGACAGACTCAATAAACCCACTCATTCAAAACCCAAAGCACGGCTATTGTGGATCATTCTTGGACTGTACAGAATATACCTTTGGGACCAAATCAATCTTCTTTTAAAGAATTTGGAGCTTCGAAAGCCAGTCTCCGGAGCTATTGGCAGCTGTGTTTTCTGCTGTGGGGAAACACGACTTTGCTATTAGGAAGGGAAAGGGCTGAGACACAGAAAGAGTTCCAAGGTGGGATATGATGGCATTTGACCTGCAGTCCTAGCTGTTATTGAGGGCCAGCCGTACCCTTGACTTTCCCACGTCTTGGTTCTTCTATCCGTGCCCCCACCCATGCCTATCCAGCTCACTAGCAGTTTTGTTTACTCTTCTTTCATTTGGATCCAATAAAGATGATGATGGAGAGGCTGCCACTACTGATTGTCCTTAAGTTTTCCAAATTTCTAAATGACAGAGTTACTAGGCAATAGAGTCTTTAGGAGTCAAAGGGATTTTAACAGGCTGTAATCATGGGTGAAATCAGCCGGATTAATTTCAACAAAGATAAACGATACCACCAGAACTTGATTCAAATAATCAATGATTTACATAGCTAACAAGAATATATATATTCTTTTTTTAAAAAAGCAATCACTAGGGAATTTAACTTCAGCACCGCCATCAATGTAATAGCTTCTGAACTCCTAACACCGTCTTAGGCTGGACTGACAGGAGAACAGATCCCAGGACGGGGTGGTCCAGAGAAGTGGTTCTCCTCCACTCCAGAGGCACACCACTGCATCTCCAGGATGTGTTACAGCCCAGGCACCTAACATCCCTATAGGAGAACTGCTTAACTGAATCCAACACAGAGGAGGCTAAGATGGAGAACTTCGTGGGAATCTTCCATGTTAAGATGGGAACATTTTGCCTGAAGGAGTGGACTGGGGAGGAGACTTAAGGTGGGAAGGGGTGAAATGGAAGATGTGCTAGGTGAGAACTTTATCTGGACTTGCGGGGCTCTTGGGAACCCATTGATCTCAGGCAGGGATGAGAAACCAGTCTAAAGAGGACAAGACCATGCTCCAAGTTAGTCGAGTAGCCAGAGGCAGATTGCTGGGGTTAGACCTGGGCTATTTCCCATAGTGCCCCCCCTTCTGCTCCTCCAGGTAGGAGAATAGAGAAAGGGGGAAGTGGGTTTGGGGGAGACGATGACCCAGGAAGAGAGCTCTAAGGACTCGGCTGGAAATGGCTCTCTCTTCTCTCTTCATGTCCCCAGCAGTCGTAGCATGGTGTAGTGATAAAAAGCCTGGGTCCTGAGTGTCAGCCTGCCTGCTGAGGGCCCAGCTCCTGGCTTTGCCACTAGCTGATGACTTTGGGCATATGGCTTGCCTTCCCTTTCCCTGGCTTCCTGGCATTTCTAGAATGGTGGAGTAAACGAGCTTCTATTTGTGAAAGTGCTTGGTCTTCACGGATATTTGTCAAGAACTCAGGTCACTGTTATTTTTAGACTGAACTTCTGCAAAGGCCTGTGAAGATGACTTCTTATGTCTACTTCCTTTCTCCTTTGAGACATAAAGATGCATATGTTTAAGAGGCAGATCTAAGGACGCCATTCCCTCTCTGCTCAAAGTGTTTCAGGAAACGTTTGTGTAACGTGCAGGCAACGCGTAAAGACCATGTGCGATGGTAATGCAGAGGTGGCATGCCTGACACTTAACAGCCAACGGGTGTGGCAACGACCATGGTGGCCAGGGGCAAGTGTCCACCTGGGCAGAGGTGTCAGGCATGGGGGGAGCAGTTGGTAACAGTTCTCTGAGTCCCAGTGGAAACACACGGCCTCCTCTCTCTGTGGAATTTCAAAAGAGAGGGCTACGGAAAAAGAGTTGGGAAAGTCAGTCTCGAAAACCATGGAGCCCCAGAGCTTCATCTGCATTCCAAGCTCACCCCAACACCACCCTGGCTCTGCAGGTGAGTACTCTAGGGGTAAGGAAGCTTTTCCTGGGGCAGGTGATATGGGTCAGTGGGTCAAGGTGCTCACTGCCAAGCCTGACACCCTGAGTTCAGTTCACGTGGTAAGAGTGAAAAAATGGCTCCATCAAGTTGTCCCTTGACATGTGTGCCCTGGTTCCCAATAAATAGACAAGCATAGGACTGGAGAGATGGCTCAGTGGTTAAGAGCATTGCCTGCTTTTCCAAAGGTCCTGAGTTCAACTTCCAGCAACCACATGGTGGCTCACAACCATTTGAAATGAGATCTGATGCCCTCTTCTGGCCTGCAGGCAGACACACAGACAGAATATTGTATACATAATAAATAAATAAATAAATATTTAAAAAATAAACAAGCATAAATAAAACGTAAAACAAAGGCAGTGTTCTAGGCACAGGACTTCGGCCTCCACCTAGACCCTCTAGCATGGGGCTCACCTGTCTGTGCCACACACGTGAGCATCCAGGACCCACTGCTCTCTGTATCCTGCCCCCACCCCCTTTCATCATGTTCTCAGTAATCCACAGTGATGTCTGGGCTGAGGCAAGAGCAGGGAGGCTTACCTCCCTAATACGGGGAGGCTAATTAATTTGTATTAGGGCTTAGGGATAATTAAACTTCTTATCTGAACTTAAGCTGCACAAACCACCTGCCTTGTACAGTTAATTGCGCCTTCATTTCCTCCTCCAGGTGTCGGGAGATAAGTGCAGCTGAGCTCCCGGCCGCGTCTACCCGCCTCTCAGGTAGGGCCGGAGAACCATCTGGGGGGAGTCCACTGTCACTGGATGCCAAGGCACTGTTCCTTTGGTACCCCACTGTTGGAGCTCAATCAAGGAGGCACATCCCTAATGAATCTTTATAAGGAACAAGTCTTGACTGTGCTGCCACAACTGCTTCTGAGGCCACCTTCTTCTCTGGGAAGCAGGAAGTGGTCTTCCTCTTTGGGTGGGGCCAGGAAAGAGTTTTGAGGGCTGGACGGGCCACCATGGAGAACCCTGGCTACTTCAGACCTCTTGGCTTCCTCCAAGTGCAGGGCTAACGGACGCTGCAACGGTGGATGACCCCCGAGGACAATAAGCACACCAAAAACATGAGCCTGGGCTGCTTTCTCTTGATAAACATTGTGGAAGCCTCTTTCCAAGCCCAAACCCCCTTCTGTGAAGCCGTGTCGCGGAGATGTGTGGAGTTAAATCTGGCACAGCACACACATCACTCCACTTGTTCCTCCCAACACCCCTAAGAAGGAGATACATTATTATCCTCATGTTACAGATGAAGAAATCAGAAGGAATCCCGAGGGTCTCTTTGACGGCAGAGTCCCTGTGCACAATTGCTCGTCACAGCAAAGCTATCGTCCTGAGGGGCCAACAAGGCAGTGAGTAAGGGGAAAATTTTTTTAGAAGGGACTCCTGAGGGGCCTGGAAAATGAAGCAAATGCTCCCTCAGCTAAAAGCACACCTTGCTGCTCATATTTCCAAAGGGAGATGCCCCTTGGTGCTCATCTGCTAACTGGGTCCCGGCTCTAACAAGCAGAGAAATTGGGCTGCATCTGTAGCCCTAATGCCCACCTGGGATAGAGCCACAGTGGAGACTCACAGAGGGACCACAGCAGCAAGGGCTCAGCGAATACTTTTTGTGTGTTTGTTTCATTTATATTTTTGTTTCAGGTTTTTATTTTATTTCGTTTTGTTTTGAGATAGGGTATTGTATAGCCTAAACTGGCCTGAACTCATTATGGAGCTAAGACTTGCCTTAAATTCTTGACCCCTCCTGCCTCCGTCTCCCAAGTGCTGGGATGATAGGCATGTGCCGTTTTACCCGGCGATGATCCGTTTTCATCAGGCATCAGTGTGGGACACTTAGTCCTCAGCAGCCTTTCTTCTGAAGAGAGTTAACTAAAGATCAGTTAACAACACACTTGGGGTCACCATGGCTGACTGACTTCAGGGCACCCTTGTCCTTTCCAATAGAAAAGGAGGATGCAGCCAAGGAGAACGGATAGCCCAGAGAGAGGAAGAGGAGATGGCAAGGGTGGAGCCAAGCAGCCCAGTGGAAGGCTCTTCAGTGCTGAGAAGAATGTTCCAGGCCCATCCACACAGACCACAGAGAAGGGGCTGTGTAAATGTCTAGGCCGTGTGCTATACTAGTGTTGCCAGGTAGGGTTTACCACCAGTCATGGATGCAGGCTCATGTCCAGAGATGGGTGACATTCTTAAGTTATGGCAATGATCTTGCTTTGCTGTCTCAAAAGCCATGCTGGGTAACAAAGCTGATACCTCAACCCAAGGTTCCAGACTTTAGTACCAGAAGAACGGGAAGTCATAGCGAAGCCATAGGCTGCTAGGCCAGTCACTGACCTCTGATTCTGGAGATCTGGGGGAGCACTGGAGAACCTGCACTTGAGGTTCCTAGGTGACAAGGATATTGGTGATTTGCTCAGAACACTCTATGTTTATGTTTATGTTATGTTTATGTTTGCATAAAACAGCTCAGAACCATGTTTTCCCCGTGGGCCACACATCTCTGGGCCACATAAGTCACTGTACAAATGAGGAAACTAAGAAAATTCCCAAGTTAGAGGAGAGCCTGACTTATGGTCCAGAGTGATTTGCTGCCGACAGCACTTAATGCACACACTAACACAAATACACGTATGTACACACACACACACACACACACACACACACACACACACACACACACAACAGCCCTCTTCTCTCCCTTTCTCCTGATGCTCATGCTTCTGCCACACTGGAAAAGCTGTGCTCCCAAATGCTGCAGGCCTCTCCGTGACCTCTAACCTCCCTTCAAGTCCTTCTCTCCTCTGAGAAGGCTCTGCTCCGGCAGCTCCCACTCTTATTTCCAGATGTTGCTCAAATGTCACCTCCTCGGGCTCTCCTTGACTTGACAGTCGACACAGCAGACGTTCCTGTCTTCCACCCCCATCCCGGCATTCACTCCATTATGCCCTAAGAGATGTCGCAAAAGGTCAGTTTTCCTCATTGGTTAAGAGCAGCCTGAGGGCGGGACTATGTATTTCTGGATCCCTGGTGGTGCAAGGTGCACAGTA